GTTGCCCCTGCTTCATTGGTCAAACGACCCGTCAGAGGACGTATCGTCTGAATCGTTCCAATCGTTGATCAATTTGTCTGGATGAGAAAATGATATTGATACACGACAGGGACCGAATTTGCGTGCGAATTCCTACCTTCACTGGACTTCCAAAGCCAGAAAGGTCCTGTTGTAGAGTTAAGAACCAACCAAATTTTCTGATAGAGGGCAGTCTCCTTACCTGCAGGGTCTCCATCTTCGTGGTCTGCCGAACTCCATACGCCAACCTACCATTACGTCAATACCGTTAGGTGCATCCTTTGAAATCAAATACTTACGACCCCTGCTCGACTTTGCACGTTGCCTAGTTGCACACCCTCCGATGCCCACGAATGCCCGCCAACTCGAGTTATCTACCAGAAGACAATTATTTTAAATTGGGGAGTGAGTAGAGTCAAAGACGTACGAAAGTCCATCGAATATTACCACTCTTTGTCATACAGACGCTGCCTTTCGTGATGCGGTGAGTTCCAAGGTCTGTTGGATGATTTGGTAGGGCGGTATCTCCCACAAAGTAAATAGTTGGCCGATGTGGATATCCTGGAGGGCCGACTTCATCCATTTTAGTGATGGTAAAGTACGACTTGATCAACCTAAACGCTTCGGCAAAGTTGGCGTTCTCAAATATCGCGGTGGAATAGGCACCGTTCGAGGTGGAACTGAACTAGGAATATAATAAGTTTATTGAAAAATCCATAAGAATAGATAACATACATTGTAGGCATGAAGATCACGATAGTCCATGAAGGAGACTGCTCGCAACCATATTCCCTGGACACCGGCCCAATCATTCCATTGATTTTCTGGTTCATCCTCTGATTTAGGGGCACTATGGGCTCTGAGGTACTCGATGGAAGTATTCGGAATATCATCGCTGGCTCGTTCATGAGCATTATGACGGAGGACATCGATGAGATGCCATAGGTGCATCCAATTGATGGATCCATCTTCACCGGATAGCCAGGGCCCCCATTTTGTCTCTTCAACATACTTCCGCATGTCGTAAACGAAAGCCCGAGAGGGTAGACGGCTATCGGCACTTCTAAAGGAAACAGGAGGGAGACTCGCAGAAGTGCGA